GGGGGGGGGGGGGGGGGGGGGGCACGTGATGATTGGTTTGGTTGGTCGATTTTTTCCCCCCGTCTACCACCGAGTCCGGGGTCCTGTGTGTAGAACAAGATAGACAGGCGTGTTTTGAGAGGGGGGGACACACACGGCACCACGGATGCATGGGAAGATTCGTTGGGGTTGACCGATACGCCCTTCCCGTAATTCGTGTCCGTGTGACCCCCGATCGGAGCTCTAACGTCAGAAAGGCACAAAAGACAGAATTCTGGTCTGCGTAACCCCTGGGTGGGGGATCCTCAGGTAGAGTGCGCAAAAAGAAAGGCCGCAGGATAGTCAGCCAGACACTGCTGTCTGAGGGACTGGTGACAAGCGTGAGAAAAAGAAAAAATAAATGCAAGAGAATTCTGCTTCGCATACAAGCTGGGTAGACCAAGAACATCACACACGTTCGTTTCAGCCACCTATGGTAGTAGTTTCTTTTAGGAATCGGAAATGGAATGAGTTATCGGTACATGGTTACTCAGCCTCTTCAGAAACCGATGTGCAAAAGTGTCCCTGTGTCTTGACACCTTCTCTCAAAACGAGTAAAGCGCAACATACCACAACGGCAGAAGAGGAGTTGTAAGGACTATCCCCCCACCAAATGACAGCAAAAACAGAAAAGCAGTCAAGCCTTCCCTACACCCACACGGACCAACTGAATCGAGTGAGACTCAACAACACCGACTGCCGGCTGTGGCGCCAGTGGCCCTGCCCTGTTACAGCGCTGGTGAAACTGCTGGGCACAGACTGAATCGCCAAGTCGTTCCGAACATTTCACAGCGCCGGTCCCTCTGACTAAGCGCCGCCGGTAGAGTCGCCGGGCACATACACCTACAGGGACCACCTACAGAACATTACCTCGTCTGCAAAGATGTCTTCCTCGCTCAGCATCCCCATCCCGCCATCCCCTCCGCCTCCTGCCCCCAAGTCTCCCAGCCCCTGCCCGAAGGTGGTTCTCCGTGAGTGGCATGCTCTTCTCGTCTCCCAGCCGTCATCCCCTAGCCCCGAAGCGTCCAGCACGTCAGCGTCCTCGTCGTGTTCGTTGGTTGGCGATGGGGGCTCCGAGAATGTTTCGGACACCCCCCCACTCCCTCCCTGTGTTGGACGGAACAAAAAGAAGGCGCGAAAGGCAACAGTATGTCATGAACATGGCGATGGGGGCTCCGAGAATGTTTCGGACAACGCATCCCCCCCCCTCCACCCCCTTCCTGTGTTGGACGGAGCAAACAGAAGAGGCAACATGAAGTATGTCATTAGCATGATATGATTCCCCCAACCATGAAGATATTTACTACCCCCTATGTGAAAATAACAACAACAACAACAGCATACAAGACAACAAAACTTCAGACGAGGTAACTAATTGCTTACAGTTTTTTTCTCGACTCTTTCGCATCTCTGGATAGAAAAAAAAAAAAAGATGGTTATTGTGATTTAGAAAAAAAAAAAAAAGGAGGGGAGGGCATGGGGGTTGAACGTGCTTGTGCTGGCACCGACGTCACGATGAATCAGCAGTGCTCCAAACATGCGAGATATCGCACTCCTGTATTATCCGACCCCCCTGTAGATCGACTTTCAAGGCTCTCGACTGCTTCACAAACAACCATGTTCAAGGGAAGAGAGGGACGAGTAAATGTTGCCGCAGGTGACGGAAGATACCATACCCTAATAAACCCATTGTCAAACCTCGATTGCTGCATGCCACAGACACAGAGGACGAATAATTGAAACGGTTCGTTATCCTTGGAAAAAAATAGCTCTCGACGATACGACTCTTCCAACGCCACCATTTTCGGCGCCGGCATTCATCATTCTTGACTCTGCGGAGAATAATCGAGCTTTGATCCAACCGGCCCATGGGGTGTGGTACCTACGCCACCTGGCGGTACGCAGCAGCAGCAGCAGCAGCAGCAGTAGCAGTACGACACTCAAGGCCAGCACGTCAACAGAGCACCCGCCAACAACAAGACAAAAACAAAAATCGTACCAGCACTTCAAGGCTCGGGGGGCGACCGTCGCCGCCCTCCCCCCTCCCTCCTCCTCCTGCCCCCGGCGGCGTCACGGCCTCCCCAACAACGCCTCCACCAGAAACCCCCTCGTTCTCCGCCCCCGCCGCCCCCGCCCCCGCCGCCACCGCCGGCGATACCTCCCTCCCCAAGCGCCGCAACGTTCGCGGGGGACTCCCGAGCACGGCGGGCACAACCACCGCCGACTTATCGTTGCCGTCGCCATCGTCAGCTTCGGCAGGCTTAGCTGCTGGCTCGGCTGGCGGGCGAGGAGGTGGAGGGGGCGAGGGCGCCGTGGAGGGGCGTACCTGTGCGGGCATCCAGGCCGCCGCAGCCGCGGCCGCCTCTTCGGCAGACCTGAGGAGTTGGACGAGGCGGGGAGGACGACGTTTTCAGTGATTCGACTCAACACGCGGCAATGTTCTTGTACTTCGGAGTAATGGTGCCCTACAAGGCGCACCTCCGGAGTGGGCTCACCGGAGCTAGTAGTGGGTGGTGTCACAGAGGTCACAGAGGCGTGATGCAAGATGAGAGTAAGGCATGTGCTGGCGGGAATCAGCTGCCGGCTGCCATCAATGACGTTTCCCAAGCTCGAACAGCTGACACAGCTGACGTATTTTTGACTCGAACAGCCCGGCGAACCTCAACTAACCAAAAAACAAATAATAACCTGCAAGAGTCTTATCTATGACGTTCGGGTAGAAAACGGACGGGGGCCTCCATATCGGAATAATTAACGGGCGATTCCATTCAACACGCCGTGCTACAGTAGTGCTTGCGACTTTTGGGGGCGGTCGAAAATGGTGGCCTCCATGTCGTCCATATGCACCCCCCTACCGCCCGCTCGAAAATCCCGCCAGCTGAAAGAACAACCCACCCCCCCCCCCTCTCCCTTCCACTCCCGGTTCTTAATCACCTGTGAATCTCACGCCTGGCGTGTCTGGCGGCCGCAGTAGCACCGGCATCATCGGCAGAAGCAGCAGCAGCAGCAGCAGCAGGTGGCCCATTTCCATCCGCCGTTTCCGTAGCCCCCGCTCCATCAGCCCCCTCGTATGAGCCCGTTGCAACTCCTCCTCCTCCTCCTCTTTCTCTCTCTTTTCGCTCGCGTCTTGGTGGCGGTGGCGGAGACAGCGGCGGCGGCGGCGGCGGCGACACGTGGCCGCCGTCGGCCTCGTCGGCAAGGGCGTCGATGCCTGTTGCATGGTGGTGGTGGTGGTGGTGGTAGTGGTAGTGGGAGGGGTTCACAGGAGCGCGGCAGCGGTCGGACGTTGTGGAGACAAAGGGTATTGGCTTGTGTCAAGAGAGCAGTCTTGATGTCAACAAGACAAGATACAACGACGACAACCACAACGACAACGACAACGACAAGAGAAACAAAGATGTCGAGAAAAAAAGACAACAACCGTAATGACGGTAGTCACAAATATGTGGAACTGCTGTACGGTTACTCTCCAACACAACCAACATCGTCAGCTCTGAGGAGAGGACGGAACGGGGTATAAACGTTGAGACACACAGGTGCCTTCTCTTCATCTGCTATTCTACCGTTTCAGTTTTTAATCCGGATAATACCCTAGCCTCTCCCCTTCACGGGGTCCCAGGTCATGGCCTTCAGAAGAGCTTTCTGTTCCCTGTCAAACTTGAAAAAAAATCTAGGGACTTCAAAAGGCATGTCTGTGTGTGCTGGTCCTGCCTCTCCCCTCCACCCTCTCTGCGGGCGCGAGCTCGCCGCCAGCACAGCGCCACACATTGGCACATGCACATGCATGTCAACCATACTGGATCGGTCTCGCTTTCATAGCGTGACCCGTGCATCTCGCATATAGACTGCAGCAAGCAGTAGTCCACGGGGTATTGTACGCGTGTGTGCATGTTCCCAAATGGAACAATTGTGCTGGGGTGTTGCCCGGCCATTGTTGATTTAGAGCGGAATAGTTGATGGTTGGTGTTGTTTCGTAGGGGCGCAAACTGATTCCTGCCCCGTTGCCATGGTTGTTATTCGGCGGGAAGATTCGCCGTTTGGTATCCCATGGTTGGAGGGGAAAAGGAGTTGGGAAGATTCCTGCGGGGGAAATGATTGATGAAAGGGTCTCTTTTCCCGTCAGGTCAGGGTACATTTCCGAAAACAGGGTACAGTTGTTGAGAAAAGTAGTCACGGCAGGGTATACCCTGCGCCTTTTCGGACGCACCGGGGTGAAATTGGGCGCTGACCAATGATATGAGTGCATTTACTGCTGTCAATGACTGTGTACCCAGGTGTGTCGCTTTTTGACCAGGGTATACCCTGTTGTGTCGTTTTCCCTTTTCTTTTTTGTTATTGAAAAAACAGCACTTGTAGATTCTCGGCCTAATTGGCTGTACAAAGATTCAGAGCATTTTTTTTGTGCTGTGAATGTCACCTCAGACTGTCTCGTAGATTGTGACGTCAGACGAAGGATCGGAGATCTACCTCCAGGGTGTTGCCACCGATAAGAGCCAGTGGACAACACCAGCGGCACGGAGACTGACGTGCTGTTCATTGGTAGACTGGTCGATGCTAGCAACAAAGACACACAAACATGAAAACTACTGCTACTTGTTCTACATGCCAAAGCTTCATGCTACATGCACCGCTTGCCTGCCCCCAGAAAACCGGTCGAAGAATTGGTCGTCCTCGACTCCGCCGCCGAGAGGGGCCCCGCAGAGTCACCGCCCCGGTACCTCCCCCCCACATCATCAGCGTCGCCTCCCTCCTTCACCCCCCCCGCCGCCGCCGTTGCCGCCGCCCCCCCCCCGGCCGGGGCGGTCGGGGGTCCCGGGCGGTGCCCCGGGGGCCGCCCGG